TGAATGATGAAAAAGAACAACTATGCACTTGAAAGCTGAAGGTTTATGCGTTAGAAGTACACAAACAGTACTTTCCCTAGTTTGAAAATGTAAAAGGGGAGGGAGAGCATTTATCTCAAATAGTGGCCTAATTCATAAGACAAATGGACAGTGGTGCCAACCTGCTACTCAGTAGTAGCCCATATCAAGAATATTATGGCCTCTGTTGGAAGCAATACAGTATGCAGTTATCAGGATCAATGGCATTGTCAGGGAAAACATGATCCTCTACAAGATGCTTTTACATTCTTGAATGTGTCACTACCAATTCTCCCCGCTTGACAATACTTGAATTCTTGCTCTTCTTTCTTAATAATGTAAGTATATTTTGTTCAACCAAACCTCAAAAAGTTGCAGAATCTTGGCCTGGTCTTGGAAACTGTTCAGCCTTGGTTAGTAGGCCATCACCTAGACTGGTTCTGAATTGGGGAAATCAAGAACATCTCCCAGAAGTCAGTGCAAAGTCACATCACATCTGTATTATTGCTAAGAAAAGGATATGCATATATCCAAAATTTGAGTCTAGCTGAAAGGACTCAAATTCACCTTTTACTTAGCCAGCGAATATCTAGGAAAGAGGACAGAGAACTAGCCAATGGGGGGGGGGAAGAGACATAATCAGCATCCAGATACGATTATATTACTGTATATTACTGTATTTCATCCACTTCAGAGTCATTAGGCAGTTTGCAAATAAATAAATGCATAAAGAAATGTTCTTTTCTATATGTTTTGCAACATTCTCACATATTTTTTGGGGGGCCTTTTAGGCTTAAGCACTCCTTTGTGTAACTGGATTCTTGATTTTCTTACTAACAGACCAGTATGTGTGAGTTGGAACAAATATTTCTAACACCATTTTCTTGAGCACAGGTTCTCCTCAGGACTGTGTCCTAAGTCCACTGCTGTTGACCCATGATGGTTGTGCTAGGTTTGCCACCAACCATATTGTGAAGTATGTGGACGATACAGCGGTAGTAGACCTTATTCAAGATGACAATGAGGGTGCTTACCGCAAGGAAGTTGAGGGTTTGGTGAACTGGTGTCAATGCTGCTAACATCAGATGTTTTTGCATTGACAACAGAGGGAAATGTAGCCATCTTTTCCCTTTCACTTTTAGAGTTAGAGATGCTGGGAGGGGGGATGTGAATGAGAGTCCAGTTAGACATAACAACACTAAATATAGCGTGAGAATCAAAGTTATTGAGCCCAGAGCTGATAAAGAATTGGCAGGCTGGAGAGCTGGATCGGAAACCCACGCTTCAAGCTAATTGGGGAATGTGATTTATGATTGTTAATTGGAGGATGGAATTGTGCTTTGATACTATGTGCCCAGGGGAGGGGAATTCAGTTTTTGGCTTCGATTATGTAGTGCCGATATTATGCTACTCGAATAAAAGATTCTTTAAGGTAAACAGTGCCTCAAAGTTCTTTGAAGAGTTTCATCTGTAGGAACCATGATGCTGGTGTAAGAAAAACAGCTTAGTTTTAACACTGGAAAACCAAAGAGATCATTGTTGATTTCAGAAAAAGCATGCACAGCTGCACTCCTCTGTGTTTTAATGATTCACATGTGGAGATGATTTCAAGCATCAAATTCCTGGGTGTGGAGTTAACGGTAGGCTGGTTTGGTCACTCAATAGTGAGACACTGGTAAAATGGGCAGAGTAGTGCCTGCATTTTATGCATCGCATGAGAAAAGCACATCTTTCTTCTCCTATCCTTACCACTTTCTACAGAGATACGATTGAAAGCATCCTGTCATACAGCATCACAGTCTGGTTTAGAAGCATCACTGCTTTAGACAGGAAGGTGGTGCAGAGAGTGGTGAGGATGGCTGAAAAGATTATTGGCAGTTCCATCCCTTCCATCTAGGACATAGCACATAAGTGTTGCTTGAGCAGGGTCTGCAAAATTGTCTGGGACACTACACATCCACCCCATGACCTGTTTTCCTTGTTAACTTCTGGGAGGAGGCTTCGCGGTATCCAAAACAGAACTTCCAGATTCAGTCACAGTTTTGTTCCATACAGTATCAACCTTGTTACCTCTAAAGCTTTCTCCTTCTGTTATATATTTCAAGATGGGCAGTGATTAAAATTTATGTTATTTATAAGTAAGGGGGCAGGTTTATAGATATGTTGTATATTGCATGTTTAATTGTGTGTTATGTATGTGTACACTTTGAAAGATAGCAACTAAATTTCATTTTTAATGTGTGCCAATGTGCCCACAGTAAAAAATGACAATAAACTATTTATCTATCTATTTAAATTTGAAATGCATTTGAATCAGCCTAGAGAGGAGTTTGTTAACAACAACTTTGCACTTGTGTGTCTAGAAATTGTGTACATCTAGGAATGGGTAAAAAGAATCCTGGAATATAAAGAGAATGCCATTACTCAAAGATAAATACTGGACCAAAAAGACACTAACACTTAACATCAATTGGTATTTCTCTGGATGTGTTCAAAATTCTCTGTTTAGACAATACCAAGAATAGTAACTATGCCTTCATCTCAATGTCATTCTCCTCCTTTTTTTTTTCTTATTATCCTTGGGCCCATTTGCAGTTACACCTGCCTAAACCAGTGGTTGATTCTGCAATTTTTAATCAATCAAATCAAACAGCCATCAGCTGGAGGATAATTGGAGGAAGAAGACTGTTCTAATGACAAAAATGAATGCAGCCTGTGTTCAAATTCAGCTGGTCTAGTTTAAAATTGAGGAATTCTGAGAATGTTCTATGACTTGTAGGGATAAATAGAGCCAAATCCATCACTTTATCTATAGAAAATCAGGTTGAATTACTTAATATGAATAGAGTTTAAACTGGCACTGGTAGTAATTTGTAGTGGACAAAATACTTGCACACAAAAATGTGGAACAGGGAGGTTTCCTCTCACCTGAGGAAATTAATGATAAGTATCCTGTTTTAACTTACAGCTGGGGATTCATACCTGTGGAAAAGATGGGCATTGGCCCATTTCTTTGTCAGATTTTGGATATCCTTCCAGACTGTGACACCGAACGTAGCTGGGCTCCTCTAGGGACATTGGAAAACTGTGGTTCCAAAGTCTTACGAGGGGGTTGGTTCAGTTTTCATAAGACTGAAATATCCTTGGAGCTATATTACAATTCTGTCTCACTGTAGGCTCCTGAGTCTAAAAGGAGGAGGAGGAAGATGATGATGAGCAGCAATGTTAGGGTCAGGTGGCTTGGTGGAGTTAAGGACTTCCTTCTTGATTTGATTGAAAGAGTTGATTATAAAAAAAAGATGTTCCAGATGTTGATTTCTTAATGTAAGAGGTTCCAAGGAAGAGGATGAGTCATTGAACAGTATATTCTTATTGCTCTGTTCATAGTTTATTATCGGAGAACCCAACCTTATGCCACCATCCTTTTCCCATATCTGTCTTTGATGTTTGAAGACTCTGCGTTTTATGAAACTAATGGAAAGTATTGAAGTGAATGTCTTCATAATCTTAGTTTGAAAAGATTATTCTTGTTTCCTTTAAGATTATTTTAATGCCCTGTTGCTACAGTATTAGAACTGCTCTACAAAAGAGGCTCTTGAAGACACTCTGCTTTTCTTCAGAGTCTTTTCTGTGTTGATTGCAAAATTACATCAATTATCTCACAGACTTTAAAATAACCATAAACTGATTCATATTCGAAGTAGACTGTATTTTACTGTTTTTTTCCTAGCCAAATAGGACCTTATTTTCTCAATGATTTGCATTTTTAAAAAGATTCCTCAAGCATAAACTGGGGATAGAAATTTTAAAGTGGTCCACACAGCTAAGGAGAGTCTTGGTGATATTAACATTGACACCTCTTCATCTTTATTTCTTTTAAAGGTCAAATTGCTAATAAATGGGAGACAGGGGATGACCGGGTGATGAAAAATGTTGGAACGGGTTACTAATTTTGAATGTTGGCTGCAATCTTTTATAAACCTAGGGAGGTTTAAAGCATTAAAGCAAATGCTTTTTTAAGCATTCAATATTTTTTTTCATCATGTTAAATCAATGAAGTAGAAGTTAACATGTTCCAAAAACAAAAAAATTCAACAGAGCAAACTTCTCCTGGGTATTTATACAACCATATGTTGAAAAATGAATAGGATCACAGAGTCTTGAAATATACTATGCTATAACTATAGAATATTATAACTAGATATGTTATAATGTTCTACTCTATCAACATACTACACTGGGCAATAAAAATATTATAGAATACAATGAATAAATATTGTAGTATCAAACCTACAATTGAAATATCCAAAAGATTACAGCATACAGATTGTTGTGGGGAAGATTGTATGATTGCTAAAAGTCAACATTAATTTGATGGCTTGCAATTAATTATTTAGAATTAAATCTATTGTGAAGTTTTGATAGTATGATCTTGGAAGATTCCAGAGGTGCAAACAAAAAATTGCAGATTGCAGATTGCCCATTCATACTCTACACAACCTCTTTAGGACTGCATGATACACTATCTTATGGAAATTCTGCCTTCCCAGTTTCACCCTAGGAAGCTCTTCTGAGAAAAGAAGAAAATCCTTTCAAAAGTAGTCTTGGTGATCCACATCCCAGGCGTGTCCAATTTAAAATAATTTCTTGCATTGTGGAGCTCAACAAAAAATAAAGACAGAGAAAATTGAGTTTCTGTGATGCTACATTTGTTAAAACAAAAAGTGTAAGGGCACTGGTTTGATTGCATTTGGTAAATGATCTAGTTAATCTTGATTATCAAAGGAAATGTATCTTTTTATATTTTTGGACTATTTTATTCAATTTTCTCTTCAGTCTACAGACAATCCACCTGAGCACTCCCTCGTTTACTTATTTTTTTCTATTTACAAACCATCCGTTTCATATGAGGATTCACACAAGAACCAAATTGGTTTGTTAACTTTCTTTTGCAGGGAAAAAAAACCCCTCTTTCTTTGAAATTCATGTTCCAATGATACTTTATTTTTGAACTGTATTCAAAATCCAATGCACTCTGGGATTTTGTTGTTTTTTTTATAGTTGTATTGGGTTTTTTATCTTGGCCAAAAGTAATGTAGCATTGGCCATTGTCTCAAAAATTACGAGTATAAAAGGCCTGTTAAAATTAATGTTTAGAGGCAATGACATAGGAATGCCTTCTGCAGCAGTGGCTCCTGCTGCCTCAGTTCCACTTTCATCAACAGTCAACACAGCTTTGTGGGTAACCTGAGAATAAAGGAAGAAAAAGTTTGAAATTTGGAATTGAGAAAAATATTTCAGAGATGATGACAACACTGATCTGTGAGTTTGCAATACTAGAACTATATTCACTTTCTCTGTATTGTTCCAATTTTAGCCTTTGTACTGCTGAAGTCAGTTCTGGATTCTCCTTAGGAAAGATTTTAAACCAGTGTTCTTCCTACTTAACAACTTCTGAAAGTTGAAGTCTACACATCTTATAGTTGCCAACTTTGAAAAATGTTGGGTTGAACAGTTACAAAAAGAAAGAGGTAAAATATAGTCATTCAAGACAAAAAGGAGAGACAGGAACTAAAGAAACTCCGTTTGTTATTGGAATCAAACAGTATTGAAGAATATTTAATAGTTTTTAAAGTTCCAAAAGTGAATATTGTTGGTCAATATTTTGGGTTAAACAAAGTAAAGTTTATAACTAATGCATATTTTAATGAGATCACTTTCAACACCATCTTTCAAGTAGAGAAAAACCAGGGCAAAACAATTTGCCATAGCCATCTTTGAAGCCTGGGCCTAATACTGCACAGGGCTACTATTAGGTCTCCTCTAATTCAGCCATTGACAAACTGAAGATTAAAATAGCCATTCTAGGCACCATTTCCAGCTTCCAAAATCATATTGCCCAGAGCCTTCCCAGACCCAGAAATGAGTTTCTTGCATTGTTAAATTGGATCACCACAGTTCTGTGTTCTGTCCTTTCAAAAAAAAAAAAGTTTTAGACAGATTTTGTGCTGTCCAAAAGTATGCATCTGTTCACTGGAACTGTATAGCAACCATGGTCAATTTAGTTCTCTGCTAATATGGATAGGTCAGGCAAGTCTGCTATTTATACTTTACTTGAGTTTTTCCTTCAATTCCTTAGTCTAGTAAATCCTTTTGATAACCACAAGAGAAATAGATGGAAAGTGTCCAGACACACTATATTTCTCCTTCTAGATTCAATTTAGGAAAAGATACAGAGGTTTCAAAAGAGGTGAGGTGTCTTCCAGGTGCTACTGCCAGTAGGGACAAGAAGTGTATTTGTAAGATAGTCAAGAATGCCAGCAAGGACTGTGATGTGGATGCTATTGTACATCTTGGCACTAACGATCTGTCCCAAGCAAAACCAAATGCACAAGTATAATATAGGAGGTACTTTGCTCAATAGTAGTAACTGTGAGGGGGATCTTGGAGTCCCTGGAGTCCTAATGGACAATCACTTAAACATGAGCCAGCTGTGTGCTGTACCTGCCAAAAAAGCCAACACAGTGCTAGGCTGCATTAATAGAGGGATAGAATCAAGATCACATGAAGTGTTAATACCACTTTATAATGCCTTGGTAAGGCCACACTTGGAATACGGCATCCAGTTTTGGTCACCAGAATGTAAAAAAGATGTTGAGACTCTAGAAAGAGTACAGAGAAGAGCAACAAAGATGATTAGGGGACCGGAGGCTAAAACATACAAGGAACAGTTGCTGGAATTGGGTATGTCTAGTTTAATGAAGGGAAGGATGAGGGGTGACATGATAGCAGTGTTCCAATATCTCAGGGGTTGCCACAAAGAAGAGGGAGTCAAGCTATTATCCAAAGGACCTGAAGGCAAGACAAGAAACAATGAATGGAAACTAACCAAAGAGAGAAGCAATCTAGAACTAAGGAGAAACTTCCTGACAGTTAGAACAATGAATCAGTGGAATAACCTTCCTCCAGAAGCTGTGAATGCTCCAACACTGGAAGTCTTTAAAAGAGATTGGACAGTCATTTGTCTGAAATGGTATAGGGTTCCCTGCCTGAGCAGGGAGTTGGACTAGATGAACTCCAAGGTCCCTTCCAGCTTTATTATTATTATTAGATATGTTGCAGTTGGTGCAATTCCTATTCTATGCAGTTTATTGTTGCAATTTTTTTCCATATATTTTTTAAAAGGTCAATTTCACTTTCCCTGTCATGTTCCTGCAACTTTCTGGGTAAAGACAGATGCGTCTTTCTAAGTTGGCCAGTGCTTTTCTTGAGGAGTTAGTCTGAAAAAAACCTGAAGCCTGGATAAGGTGCTATCTCAATCTTTTTCCTCTTTGTAATGACGAACACTCATGAACTGATGCCAGAAAGATAATCTGATGTACATATTTTGCTTACAAAACAACAATTAGAAGGGAAAGTTATTTTTTTTGCAAGGGTGAGACTTTTCATATAGCCCTGCCCTCATTGACATTGCCTCTGTGAAATATGCATTCATCTTGCTGAAATCCTGCCTGAAATGATGCAAACAATATAAATGTTTTACTTACTTTAGACAATTTCAAAGGCTGCCTGGTGACTCCAGAGAAATCAGCGTGGTCAGTAAAGATTTCAGTAATGCCAAGCTGGGAGAGGGGTTCCTTTAAGCTGTAGGTGGCTGAAATACTAAACTTGGGGATGGAGACCATTGCTACACCCCTTCAGAAAGACAGAAAGACATTTTCATTCTAGACATCCCAAAGTTAACAAGTATACTCAATAATATTTCCTACAATCAGTAAAACAATCACACACACACACACACACACACACACACACAACCCATAACTAAGTCATCCTTGTCAAATGGAAGCTTGACTTTTAACAGAGAAATCCTTGATATTAGTTCCTATCATAACAACCGTTAAACATCTGTTTGAAATATTTGAGTGGAACCAACAGGCGTTGTTGTCAAAATATCAGACTTGATTGAATGAATGAATTTATAGGTTGCTCAACCAGACATGAGTTTAGGTGGCTTAAAACTAAACTAAAACATCAAGATTTAACAAAGTCAACCAAACAAAATAGCAAATAAATAATAATAATAATAATAATAATAATAATAATATTGCAATATCAAGTATAAGCACCAATTCATTGCAAGAAACAAACCAACTAATGTACAGCACAGCTGCAGTTATAACAGAATACCTGGGATGCAAAATCAACAAAGAAGAAAAACAAACAAACAGTGCACCAGAAAAATGGAAGGTTAGACTAGAAAATAAGATCAGCAAGTTAAGATCACATGCAAGCAAGCTAGAACAGATGAAAGAAAAGAAGCTGAAGAACAAGAAGACCAAAGAATACCTAATCAAGAAATACCACTTAGAAACAAGGAAGATCAAGGAAGCACTGGAAATAATAAAGCAACAAATAACAGCTATAGCCAGGAAAATCAGTAGATATGAAGCTCGAATTGCAAACTATAGGCAGAACCTCCAATTTCAATCCAATCAGAAACGTTTCTACCAATCCATCAATGGAGAAACTGCAAGGAATCAGTCAGTACCTGACAAGGAAGAAACAGTGCAGTTCTGGAAGCAGATATGGGATAACCCAAAGAAATACAACAAGGATGCGGCTTGGTTAAAAGAGGTGGATGCAAATAAAACAGAAGTTGAAATGAAAGAACTAGTAATAACAACAAAAATGGTAGAAAAAAGAGCAAAGAAAATCAAAAATTGGTCAGCACCAGGTGAAGATGAACTGCATGGGTTTTGGTTGAAACATCTAACTGTTATACACCCACTCATTGCCAAACAGTTCAACAATATACTACAAGGAGGAGAAATTGAAAAGTGGCTAACAACTGGGAAAACCTACCTAATAATGAAAAATCCAGCAAAAGGGGCAACACCAGGTAACTACAGGCCAATTACCTGCTTACCAACAACTTTCAAATTACTAACTGGTGTAGTAGCTGATGCAGTGCAACAGCATCTAGTTGAAAACAATCTCTTTCCACCTGAGCAGAAAGGAAACCGCCCCAAACAGCAGAGGAACAAAAGATCAACTCCTAATAGACAAAATGATCTTGGAAAACTGCAAGAGAAGGAAGACCAACCTGAATGTGGCATGGATTGACTACAAAAAGGCATTTGACTCTCTGCCACATGATTGGATAATAAAGTGCCTAGAAATAACAGGAGTCAGTAGAAACATCAGAAAATTTGTGCAAAGATCGATGGCACAATGGAAGACACAGTTGCAGATCAATGGTGAGAGGCTGGGAGAGGTTAATATCAAGAGAGGAATATTTCAAGGAGATTCATTATCACCATTACTATTTGTTATTGCACTGTTTCCTCTGTCAACAATACTGAATAACTCAGGACATGGCTATCAAACATCAAAAACATCTGCCAGACTATCCCACCTCCTTTATATGGATGATCTGAAGCTGTATGGAAAAACATCATCTGAAATAGAATCGCTGCTCAACACTGTCCGTATATATAGCCAAGATATTGTAATGGAGTTTGGCTTGGACAAATGTGCCACACTTACTATCAAACAAGGAAAAATAATGAAAACTGAAGGAATCAAGATGCCCCACGAAAATAACATTAAGAGTCTGGATGAGGAAGAGTACTACAAATACTTGGGTATCCTTCAAGCTGACAACATCAAGCACACTGAAGTCAAGAAAAAGATTAGAGGTGAATACATCAAGAGAGTGAAGAAGATCTTAAAATCCAAACTCAATGGAGGAAATACCATAAAGGCAATCAACACCTGGGCAATCCCAGTCATTAGGTACACAGCTGGAATAGTGGACTGGACTCAAGCAGAACTAAAAGCAATGGATAGGCAGACCAGAAAAATAATGACAATGAATCATGCCCTTCATCCACGCAGTGACATTGATAGACTTTATCTACCAAGGCAAATAGGTGGGCGTGGAATGCTACAAGTACATCAGATGGTTGAAGAAGGAAAAAATGGCTTGGAAGAATATCTGAAGAACAATGATGAAGATGCACTGAAATTAGTATATCAGGAAGGCTTACTAACTACTGGAGAGACCAAACTGGCCTACAAGAAAGACCAAATGAAGAACAGAATAGAGGCATGGGAAGACAAAGCACTACATGGCCAATACATGAAAAAAATAGCTGGGAAAGCAGATAATAATAAAACCTGGCAATGGCTAAGAGCAGGAAAATTGAAGAAAGAGACCGAGGGACTAATTCTGGCTGCACAAGACCAAGCCTTAAGGACAAATGCATACAAAGTCAAAATTGAGAAGACAGCAACAGACAGTAAGTGCCGCCTATGCAAAGAAGCTGAAGAAACAGTGGACCACTTGGTAAGCTGTTGCAAGAAGATTGCACAAACTGATTACAAGCAGCGGCATGACAAAGTAGCAACAATGGTGCATTGGAAGATCTGCAAAAAATATCATTTGCCTGTAAGCAAAAACTGGTGGGATCATAAAATAGAGAAAGTCATAGAAAATGATAAAATTAAACTGCTCTGGGACTTCAGAATTCAAACAGACAAGCACCTGCAACATAACACCCCAGACTTAACAATTGTCGATAAGAAAGACAAAAAAGTCTGGATAGTGGACGTGGCAGTGCCTGGAGATAGCAGAATAGAAGAGAAAGAACTGGAGAAGATAACAAAATACAAAGACCTACAAATAGAAATAGAAAGACTGTGGCAAAAGCAAGCAAGGGTAGTACCAATAGTCATAGGCTACTTGGGTGCAATCCCAAAACAACTGGAGCACCACTTGAACACCATTGGCATTGACAAATTCGCTATTAGTCAATTGCAAAAGGCGGCCTTATTAGGAACTGCTTCCATCCTGCGACGATATCTGTAATACCATCAAACATCCACATCTGCCTATCCCAGGTCCTGGGTAAGGACTCGATAGGTAGACAAAATGCCAAATCCAGTCTGAACATCTGGCTGACTGTGCGATGATCGATAATAATATAATAATAGTAGCAGAATAGAAGAGAAAGAACTGGAGAAGACAACAAAATACAAAGACCTACAAATAGAAATAGAAAGACTGTGGCAAAAGCAAGCAAGGGTAGTACCAATAGTCATAGGCTCCTTGGGTGCAATCCCAAAACAACTGGAGCACCACTTGAACAGTATTGGCATTGACAAATTTGCTATTAGTCAATTGCAAAAGGCGGCCTTATTAGGAACTGCTTCCATCCTGCGACGAGATCTGTAATACCATCAAACATCCACATCTGCCTATCCCAGGTCCTGGGTAAGGACTCGATAGGTAGAAAAAATGCCAAATCCAGTCTGAACATCTGGCTGACTGTGCGATGATCCATAATAATAATAATAGGAACTGCTTCCATCCTGCGACGAGATCTATAATACCATCAAACATCCACATCTGTCTATCCCAGGTCCTGGGTAAGGACTTGATAGGTAGACAAAATGCCAAATCCAGTCTGAACATCTGGCTGACTGTGCGATGATCAATAAATAATAATAATAATAATAATAATAATAATAATAATAATAATAATAATAATAATAATGTATCCAATCAAAATAAAACCCAAGATTCATTTTCATTACATCAGTTACTTCTAACAAGCTTGAAGTAATTTCATCCGATAGTTAATAAAGGTAGTCCTCGACTTACAACAGTTTGTTTAGTGACCATTCAAAGTTACAATGACACTAAAAAAAGTGACTTATGACCGTTTTCCACACTTATGACCATTGCAGCATCACCATGGTCACATGATCAAAATTCAGATGCTTAAGACAGTTACACTGTCCTAGAGTCAGGTGATCACCTTTTGCAAATTTCTAACTAATAAAGTTTATGGGGAAGCCAGATCCACTTAAATATTACTAACTTAACAACTGCAATAATTCACTTAACAACTGTAGCAAGAAAAATGGGGCAAAACTCAGCACTTCACTTAGCAACAGCAACTTTGGGCCCAGTTGTGCCATAACATGAGGACTACCTGTATCCTTTTCATCTGGGTAATATCAACTGAAACATATTACAGATAGATATTGATTTTTGCTCTCAAAAGGTTATTCTCATTCTGGTGTGCCTCGTGGTCAGGCACAGAAATTTGGGTATATGTGCATTGGTCAGACATTATTTTTTTAACCACTGTTTATTACTGTTGTATTTCCAAACAGAAGCTGTCCAAGGTAGTTGCTATAAAAGGGCTCTCTGTATTAGGACATGTCTGCTGATTGCCTGAAGCAGGGGTTTCCAATCTGGGCTGCGGCCCAGTACCAGACCGTGACCCATTCAAAACTGGCCCATGGAAGCGGTGGGCCAGCACATGCATGTGCACAGCTCCACTTGGGTGAGTGGCGGGCAAGTGCATGCATGCAGCTCCATTTGTATGAACAGAAGGCACATGGGATGCCACCTGTGAAAATTGAACTGCATATACTTGCCCACCACTTGTGTGGAACCATCTCCTCTCCCTCCCCCACTGATTCGCAAAGCCAGAGAAGTTGGGGAATGCTGGCCTAAAGAGATAGCTTGTGTGACCCCGCTCCCTCCATCACACTGTAGAAAGATTGCTTAAACAAGCAAAGAAGAAAAGAAGAAAAAAAGTGATTTATAGTGATCATCCTGTGATCCTGTGATTGTCATTTGCAACCTTCACAGCCAGCTTCCAAAAAACAAAGTCAGTGGGGAAGCTGGCAGGAAAACGCAATCGCAATCACAGTCATAAATTGATTAGATTAATAGCCTTAGCTGGAATTGATGAACTGACGTTATAAATCAGGCATAGTCTGATGTTTCACTTTAAAATAGAATTGCTGGTCCAAATTATGATCCATAAGTGAGTACCTCTAATTTGAACTCTTGATTTGATTCAGATAGTTCTTTTGATCCAGTTCAGGTGATCTATTTGACCTATTTGATCTGGGAAAGGGAATTAATTTGCAGTATCTGCATGGAAGATCAAAAGCTACAAGATGGTCACCACATTGTCAAAGCCCCAAAGTTTTTTTATAAATGCAAACACAAAGGAGGAGGGGTCTCTATCATGATGTCACACTCACCATCTCACAGACACAGATATTGCCCTACCTGAGATTAATTAAGATTCAGGAATAAAACTGATTAGAGATTGCAAGAAACAAGTGGAGTATCAGTATTATAAGGGATAAAGCACAACACTGTAAGGTCAAATGGGACTTGAAGAAATTTATTTTTCATGCAGAGGAGATGGGAAACCACTGCACTCTGTTTAGTTCATGGTATGAAGCTTCTGAGGTGGGTTTGTCATCTCCTCACCAATGTGTCCCCTTTTGTCATCACTCAGTCACTTAGAACAATGGTGCAGAATTTTCTACAAGGACATACCATTCTCTGAATGGCATGTCTGGAGTTATTTTGTAAAGGGATGAGTAACAAACAGCAAGGAAGAATAATTAGCAATATGATTAGAACTAATGAGCAAATCTTCCACTCTCATACATCGGGGATAATACCAAGAGATGCACCTTAAACACTAGTGAGACATGCACAGCCCTAGGTTGCTGGTCTCTATCTTAAAATCAACCCTCAAACAGTTTCAGGAAGAGTTTAACACAGAATGGACAGACCTTGAAGTATACTTAGATATCTTTAAGACTATATTAAATATGGAGAAATATAGGATCAATAAAATAAGTGTTACCTGTGTACATTTTGTGCCCATTTCGTCAGAGTATTTATTGACAGAGCCTCGTCCAATTCCTTCTCTTTTTTAGGATCAGGCAAAACAAAAAATGTGGTAGCTGTACCATTGTAGTCTATCTGCAATACTCTGCAAGACAGCTGGCTATCAAAATAGGAGTAAAACCAACCGGTCCTGTGCATCATTTGAACTTTGACAGTTGTGTTGTGATCCACAAAGAAGTCCTCTTGCCATGTGAGCTTTGAATCAAATGGAGTCTTCCAGTTGCCTAAAGAGAAAAAAAGAGACCCACAATAATATTTGGATAAGAGTATCATACCTGCATGAGATGAATTAGATTTGCCTTCAAGAAGATGCTGTGATCTTCTTTGCTGAGGCAAAAAGATGGCATGATTTAATTAGTAAGATGCTTTGCATTCATTTGCTTATGCTGACCAACATTTGCAAAGATGGGATGAAGATGGGACGATTTCTGCACATCTGCAGCAAATGCTGGTTAGGCAGTGAAGCAATTCAGCTCCAGCATTGCTGTCAGAAGAAAAGGGCTGTGTACCTTCTTCCATGATCTATTTTATTTAAGTCTTTGTTGATGATTTAACAAAGGTGATTTAACACCCATTCTAAAATAGGCACAGCTGCAAGGACCTATATGCTATTCACACAGAGAGATGTGCAACTTATGATCTTATATCAAGCAGACTTCTTTTGAACAGTCTAGTCATTTGTTTCTTGTTTGTTTTTAAACTCTACAAGAGTGCATTTTAGTTGCACTTATAATCCAATTTTGTGAAGAATTGGAATAATGGCCACTATTCTGACATAATATCAGTTATGACACTTTGAGTAAAAGAGCTCTTAGGTGCTTTTAAAAAATTGAAACCACCATTCCTAAAATGGTTCCACAGAAGTGAAAAACTGTGTAATTTAGTTACAAACAATACACAGTTTCTGTTTTGTACAACCCCCTATAGTGAAGTAATTACATGAGAGCTGCATAAGATACTTAAATTTCTGTATTGGGCTAGTTTTTCAGTGCATGTACTTTGTATTGATTGGAAATTAGGGTTTTTTTTTTTCTGAACTGGAGCAATTCCACCCCTCTTTCACCAAACTCAAAAAACTTTACTCTGCCTCAATAGCATCTTTGGATATTTCCTTTCATAATGGAATCTTCCCTTTTCTCTGTGCAAGTTACCTTTAAAGAATATGTAGTTTGTGAGAACAAAGACAGTTTCTGGGTCAAGATCCTTGACTATTTCCACAATTTTTCCATTTGTTTTTTGCTTCATATAATCATTGATCTGTTTTTCAGCTTCTTTTGGTTCCTGAAACTTTGCAGCTTGGATTTCTGCATCATAGAATTCCTTAATCTTATCTAAAAATGTCTGCAATGGTTGTATGTCTTCCTTTAGAAATAGGTCCTGTCCAATATCCAGCTTGAAATCCTTCTCTGAGTGTGTGAGCAGATGGAGAAGATCATGAAACCCCTGGTGGATCTCATCTTCCTGAATGTGTGTCAAGTTGAAATCAAGGCCCTTTAAAATCTCTGCATGGGTGTTTGATTTTGACCCTAACAACAGAGCGGAAAGCAATATAAAAATGCTGCAGGGTGAGAAAACAATATTCTTGTCCTGTGATCTTGCAGACAATATTTTGTAGAATTCAGTTGCAAAATGAGCAATATTGCTCTGGATCTTGATAGCAGTTTGAAGGTCATGATGATTGTGGTGATGATCGACATCATGGTGACCATGGCTGACGAGGGAAAACACTATCAAGGCCAAGCACAGATGAATGATTCTGTTCATCCTGCTGCTAATTGGTTCTGGAAAGGAAAATAGTGATAAAGAAAAGGGATTTTATTTTATCATAAACTATGTTTGTAAAATACCTTTTTGTTATAGTGTTACAGTATTTTAGTTTCTAGCTGAAGACCAGCATGAAAGAATATTGATGATAAATTGTTATTTTTTTCAAGTCAAGAATATGATAATATAAGTTTATGCTCTACTTATTTCAAACCCATGTCATGTTGTAGTCATGACCATTTTGGGTACATTTTTGAGCTAATTATGTGTCACCTATCTGCAGTACAATATATACCTAGCTAGTTTATGAGGAATAACCCTGAAAAAGGGCATTTTATATATTGATAACATCCAGCATTCAAATATATAAATAATCCATGTGGATTCTGAAAAAACCATATCCTTCCTGTAACTTAAGAATAACAACCATTTGCACTTCCTGACACAATGACATGGAGATGCATCCGCTTCGGTAAATGTATATGGAGTTTCTCAATCATCCAGGTCAGGGTTGTCCCAAAGGTCCTTTTCAAAAGGCAACTGGCCTTTCTTGTTGTTTTTCCCCTTGTTGTTTTTCCCATTCGTCATTGCTGCTCAAAGCACGAAGCTGAAAACACCAGCCTGAAGATGACGAATGGGACTTCGTCGAAACGTCGCCAAGACACTTCCAATTTTACGCGGGAGAAAACCCGAACAACCAAAGACCTACATACAAACACCCGCGAAAACCTCAGAAAACATATATATATATGTGTCAATGAGGGCGGGTTTCCAAATGGCTGGTAGGCGGGAGGTATCATCTCGCTTGTTCATGCTGTGTGGGCGTTTTTCTATCTCGATGGCTTCTCTGATTATTCTGTTATTAAAATGTTCACTTTTGGCAATGGTTCTGGTATTTTTAAAGTCAATTTCATGTCCTGTGGCTTTAAGGTGTTGGACCAGGGAAGATGTTGGTTCCTCTTTTTTGACTGAGTTCTTATGTTCTTCAATGCGTGCACTTATTCTTCTGTTGGTTTGTCCGATGTATGTGGTGGGACAAGTGGTGCATGGGATTTCGTATACTCCTTGATTTTCTAATTCAATTTTATCTTTGGGGTTTCTAAGGATGGTGGATATTTTTCTGTTTGTGCAGAATGCTGTTTTGATGTTGTGTTTATGGAGGATCTTACTGATTCTGTCTGTGATGCCTTTTATGTATGGGAGGATGGCTTTGCCGTTTTCTTGTTCTTTGTCTTGGATTTTAGTGGGGGTTTCTTTTTGGATTAGGTTTGTAATCTTATTTCTTGGAATCCATTGGATGTTAGTACATTGGTGAGAGTGTGTAGTTCGGGTTTTAGGTGTTGTTCGTCAGCTAAGCGTTTTGTTCTGGAGATGAGTGTCTTGGCTACAGAGTTGATCTGTGCTGGGTGGTGGTGTGAGAGAGCGTGCAGATAGCGGTTTGTGTGTGTTTTCTTCTGGTAGATGGTGTGTCCTAGGGAGCCATTGGATTTCTTGTAGACTAAGACATCCAGGAAGGGAAGTTGGTTGTTAGCTTCTGTTTCCATGGTGAACTGTATTTTGGGGTGTAGGCTGTTGAGGTGTGTGAGGAAGTTGTCCAGTTTTTCTTTCCCATGTGGCCAGATTATGAAGGTGTCGTCTACGTATCTGAGCCAGAGTTTGGGTTTGTGATCAGATTTTTCTAGAGCTTGGGTTTCAAAGTGTTCCATGTAGAGGTTGGCAATGACAGGTGAGAGGGGTGATCCCATGGGTGCTCCTTCTGTTTGTTTGTATTTTTGTCCATTATAGATGAAGTATGTGTTGGATAGGCAGTGGTTGGTCAGATCTAAGATGTGTTTGGGGGGGTTATATTTGTTTTGAATAGCTGTCAAGGCTTCTTTGATAGGCACTTGGGTGAAGAGGGATATGACATCGAAGCTCACTAGTAGGTCGCTGGGCTGTAAGTTTTGTTTCTTTATGATCTCTATAAACTGGAATGAGTTTTTTACGTGTGAGGTGATGGATTCTGCATAGGGCTGTAGTTGTTTGGCGAGAAATTTGGCTAGGTTTTGTAGAGGTGAGCCTATGGAGCTGACTATAGGTCTGAGTGGGGTTCCTTCCTTGTGTATCTTGGGGAGACCATAGAGTTTGGGGCATCTGGATGATTTCTCTCTGGGAATGATTCTTTGCTGGATCTCTTCGCTAATGGGGGAGGCTTTTATTTTGGATCTGGTGGTTTTTTCCAGGTAGGTGGTGGGATCTGTATTTAGGGGTTTGTATGTGGAGTCTTGGAGTAGGTTGGTTAATTTGGTTTGGTAGTCAGATGTGTTCATAACCACCGTGGCGTTGCCCTTGTCTGCTGGTAGGATTATTATGCTGGTGTCTTCTTTAAGGTTACGTAGTGCTGTCTGTTCCTCTTTGGGTAAGTTGCTTTTGGGTGGCTTGCTGGTGCAGAGGATGTTGGTGATTTCGAGTCTGATTCTGTTGGCGTCGTCGGGGTTGATTTTAGTCAGGCTGGTTTCAACTCCACATATAATGGTTTCAGTGGGGATGTGTTTGGGAGCGACTGCAAAGTTGAATCCTTTGGAAAGGACATTGGTTTCGGCTTTGGTGAGGATCCTATCTGAGATGTTATGCACTGTTTGTTTCATGTGTGGCTGTGAGGGAGGAGGGGTTTGTTTCTGGCGTTCTTGTAGTCTTCGGAGTTTGTTGGTGTGTGTATCTGTCTTGAGGGTGGTCTGTGTTTAGGCTCTCCAGACGGCAAGTTGTTTGGATTTGTCCCAAAGTGCGGGGTGGATCTTGGTGCTGAGTTTGAGGTGGAGTGTGAGGAGATCTTTGTTAATTCGGTCTAGGAGGAATCTTTTTGTGTGAAGTTCATTTCTGATTAGGGCCAATTCTGTTCTTTTCAGGATCCGTTTGGTGGCTGCAGAGTTGGAGTGGAATTTCAGTTGGAAACGTGGGGATTAGATTTTGATCTCGGCAGTTGCGTAGGAATGCGAGGTCGCATAAAATGGAAGCTCTTTGGATTTCAAGTTTTTCATAGGTCCTGGTCAGATGGTGGATTTCCTCCCCGTAGAGGTTTGATATTTGTTTTCTGAGGTTTTCGCGGGTATTTGTATGTAGGTCTTTGGTTGTTCGGGTTTTCTCCCACGTAAAATTGGAAGTGTCTTGGCGACGTTTCGACGAAGTCCCATTCGTCATCTTCAGGCTGGTGCTTTCAGCTTCGTGCCTCGAGCAGCAATGGGTGGTCTTAGCTGTTTCTTCCTTTTAACTGCCAGTGGGGGTATGAACTGATAGGGTGGGAGCTTGGCTGTGTTCTGATTGGGTGGAGGTGTGTTCTGATTGGTTAGGGGCTTGGCTGTGCTCTGATTGGCTGGGGGGTTGGCTGTGCTCTGATTGGCTGGGGGAGTGTTCTGTTTGGTTGTGCTCAGGTTAGTCTGAGTTGCAGAGGGATTCACGATTTTGGGCTGCCCTGCCAGTCCTTGGCTTCGCGTTCGTGGTCGTGCTTCCTCTTCATGGAGGGTGTCAGTTTGCTTCATGTATGGATTGGGGGGGGTTAAAGTGGCTAATGATGCAGCTGTGGTCTGGCTTCTGGTTTGTGGTCGTGCCTCATAGTCAGTGTGGCTTTGGGGTTGTTTTTTGCGTGGATGTTTGGTGGTGACATCCTGTGTGGGTTTTGTGAGTGTGGGTCTGGTATCATTTTTTGTGTTAGGGAGTCGTTTTTCAATAAGGGAGGGTTTCCAAATGGCTGGTAGGCGGGAGGTATCATCTCGCTTGTTCATGCTGTGTGGGCGTTTTTCTATCTCGATGGCTTCTCTGATTATTCTGTTATTAAAATGTTCACTTTTGGCAATGGTTCTTGTATTTTTAAAGTCAATTTAATGTCCTGTGGCTTTAAGGTGTTGGACCAGGGAAGATGTTGGTTCCTCTTTTTTGATGAGATTCTTATGTTCTTCAATGCGTGCACTATTCTCCTTTGGTTTGGTCAGATGTATGTGGATGGGACCAAGGTGGTGCATGGGATTTCGTTATACTTCTGATTTATAATTCAATTTATCTTTGGGTTTTCTAAGGATGGTGGTATTTTCTGTTTGTTGCAGAATGCTGTTTTGATGTTGTGTTTATGGAGGATCTTACTTGATTCTGTCTGTGGTGCCTTTTATGTATGGGAGGAGGGCTTTGCCGTTTTCTTGGTCTTTGTCTTGGATTTTGGTGGGGGGTTCTTTTTGGATTAGGTTTGTAATCTTATTTCTATGGAATCCATTGGATGTTAGTACATTGGTGAGAGTGTGTAGTTCGGGTTTTAGGTGTTGTTCGTCAGCTAAGCGTTTTGTTCTGGAGATGAGGGTCTTGGCTACAGAGTTGATCTGTGCTGGGTGGTGGTGTGAGAGAGCGTGCAAATAGCGGTTTGTGTGTGTTTTCTTCTGGTAGATGGTGTGTCCTAGGGAGCCATTGGATTTCTTGTAGACTAAGACATCCAGGAAGGGAAGTTGGTTGTTAGCTTCTGTTTCATGGTGAACTGTATTTTGGGGTGTAGGCTGTTGAGGTGTGTGAGGAAGTTGTCCAGTTTTTCTTTCCCATGTGGCCAGATTATGAAGGTGTCGTCTACGTATCTGAGCCAGAGTTTGGGTTTGTGATCCGATTTTTCTAGAGCTTGGGTTCAAAGTGTTCCATGTAGAGGTTTGCAATGACAGGTGAGAGGGGTGATCCCATGGGTGCTCCTTCTATTTGTTTGTATTTTTGTCCATTATAGATGAAGTATGTGTTGGATAGGCAGTGGTTGGTCAGATCTAAGATGTGTTTGGGGGGGGTATATTTGTTTTGGATAGCTGTCAAGGCTTCTTTGATAGGCACTTGGGTGAAGAGGGATATGACATCAAAGCTCACGAGTAGGTCGCTGGGCTGTAAGGTTTGTTTCTTTATGATCTCTATAAAGTGGAATGAGTTTTTTACGTGTGAGGTGATGGATTCTGCATAGGGCTGTAGTTGTTTGGCGAGAAATTGGGCTAGGTTTTGTAGAGGTGAGCCTATGGAGCTGACTATAGGTCTGAGTGGGATTCCTTCCTTG